ATTTACCATTTACAAAGGATATACGTACATTGCATATGCCGTCTATTAATTTACTAAATGATAATGATGTATATATGTAATGTTTTGTTTTTTTCCATCACCCTGGAATGATTAAGATGAATATGATTTTATTTTTTAAGATTTTATCCTAGCTTATTTTATCTCTTCTGATTTTAATAGTTATTTTGTATCTTTTCCCCATCAACCTTCTTCCTTCCTCTACTATTAAGGTTTGAAGGAAAAAGTTACTTTTAGTTTTGGATTTATGTTTATATTTTCATATTTTGTTTTTTGTATGTATTTATATGCGTGTATGTGTATGTATGTATATGTGTGTATTTATGTATGTATGAATGTATGTATGTATGTGTGTGTACGTGTGTAAATGTGTATAAGTGTATTATTGTTTTTATTTCGTATTTGATTTTACCTTATGCAGTATACATTAATATATATTGATTTAGTTTATTTTCATATTTCAAATAACACGTGTATATACATATACAACCTTTTATCTGTCCTATAAATGTGTATATTTATATTTGTATGTATGTTCGTATATATGTTTGTATGTATGAATGTATGTGATTGTATGTGTATGTGTTTGTTTGCTTGATTGCCTCAAAAAGTATGTTCATATTTATATGTATGTATGTTTATGTTTTAGATTTTATAATAATATATCCTTTATATAAATAAATGTATATATATTATAATTATATATATATATATACGTATATATATTATAACATACCATATGGATAGGGCATATAGTTTATAATATATTCCCTATATACATGTATGCAATTTGTTGTAAATATAATTAAACCTCCCCTTTATTTATTAAATTCTTATACTGCCCCCTTCATTCGTCTACATTGACTTAATTTTTCGTTTTACTGATTTGTTTTCCTTCTTTCGTTCATAGTTTGATTTTTAAAGCCTAATTAAAATTACTAATTAACGATTTTAATAATACAAATGCATTATTAAATTGAAGAATGGTCAGTTCTGTGTTTTCTGTAGAATTTACTTTTAAATTTTAAAAAAATTCTTCAGAGAATATAGGGCCCATTCATTTAACCATTATACTGTCACCTACCTGGTCTACAAGTAAATGTGTGTAAGTACGTTTTGCTAGATTTGAGATGAATTCGCTTGCTCTTTTAGTTAAGGATTTATTCATGAAAAATTAGGAGGCTTTTTGTTTGTTGCAACGCTAAAAAGCTAGGATATAATATATTTGATAATTTATAGTAAAATTTATGAATATATGTATAAGTGCGTGCGTGTGTGTGTGTGTGTAATGCCAGTAACATGTATGTATGTTAATACCATGCATTAATGATAAATACATTTCTGCGTGAACAATAACAACGACATTAATAATAATATAAATAGTAGTAGCGGTAGTAGTAATAATAACAACACACGTTTAGACGACATTTTCCCCGAGATCGGGGGTTGCCGTTTGGCTACCTATGATGAAACCGAAATACCCCTCGACGCCATCCACATCTGTCACTCGCCTCAGTAGTAATAATACCGGAAATATTTAAAAATCTTACTTTGCAAATAAATAAAAATATATGAGGATCATAAGTTGATGTAAATAAATGGCAAATTATATATATGTATATAAATATATATATATATGTGTATATATATATGTGTGTATATATATATATATATATGTTATACACTGGTTGGCGTTTTAGCCCAAAGAGTAAAAGTGCTTGTAGTATGTAATAAAAAAATATGATGCTCCGATTTACGGGGTTCAAATACAGGCAAAATACAAACACGACACGTAAATATTTGTATATAATAAGTATTTATGTATGTATGTTTGTATGTAAGTATATATGTATGTTTTCAATATTTATATATATATATATATATATATATATATATCAGTAAATAACACGTACATATAAGTATATATGTGGGTACATGTGGATATATAATGACTAACATATAGATATATATATTGTATGTTGTATTTTGAGGTTATATCAAACTATGAAAAGAACTAAAAGAGAGTAATAATATTACACTAAATGATGATATATTAATAATGATAATTATAATATATAATTATGATTAATAACAATCATAAAACTTAATAATAATAATAAAGATCATAATAACGTAATAACGGTTATAAAATCCACACGCACCCACATTTTAAAGTTTTTAAATACAAAAAATAAACATACATACAATTAAAATGCATACACACAATACATACATACATAGGGGAGATACGGAGATACAAACAAACACACACACACATATACATACAAATACAATGGCACAGAGACACATATATACGTACACCCAGACATACATAATCCCATTTAAAAATATAATCAAGCATCATACAAAGACATATAAACATATAACAGGACATTACAAAGAAACGATCTGGTCATTCTAAATGCCTTGGTTAAATATTTTTTTGAAATTCATAATTCACTTTTCATTAATTTTTTAATTATTAATAATTAATAATCCATCCATCTGTCCATACATTCATTCATTTGTTCGTTCGTTCATTTATTCATAAAACTCATTCAACCCTTCACAAATTCACTAAAAATAATATATTTATTTATTCCTATTACAACCATCCATCATTCAATTCGTCTATCCGCTATCTACTCATTCATTCATTCATTTATTCATTCTTTCATTTTTCCATCCATCTATCCAGAAGGTTTGTCACAACTTCATCATTGTCTGATGGACTGCAGTTTGATAGCTAAAAATAGATAATATAAAATGTTAATAGTTATGTAAATTGGTTTGCTCTTTCAATCGTTTCTTTCATTCATTCATTCATTCATTCATTCATCCATCCATTCATTCATTCATTCGGCGTTCAAACGGTAAGTCAGTTAATTGGTCTGTCAGTCAACCAGCAATTCACTACCAACTCCTTCATTAATTCATTCATTCGTTCATTGATTCAATCAATCAATCAATCAATTATTCATTCATGCATGCACTCATTCATTCATTCATCCTTACGCTAATTCACTCAAACAACAAACCCTCGATAATTTCCAATTTGGCCTTGTCTATCTCGCTCTTAATTTCGGCCATTAAGTCATTTTTAAAATTGTCCAGCATCGTCATGTAATTCTCATTGCTGTTATTGTTGTTGTGCGTGGATGATGATGACGATGATGGAGGAAATAGGTCGGGACCAGTTAACGATTGAAATCTTTTACTGTAATGATGTTGTAGTTGTCAATCAATCAATCAATCAGTTAATCAATCCATTCATTCGTCCATCCATCAACCGATCCTTACGTTCTTGCTTGTCTAGGTGATAGTGAATTGTCATTAGTTTTTCCATTGCTCGCTAGAGCCGCTGCTGATGCTGATTGTTGCTGCTGATGTTGTGATGACGACGACGTCGTTGATGACGACGATAGTAATCTGTCCACTGAGTTCTTCCTTTCCATACTCACAGGACCTGAATCCATTTCCTGTGGTTTGTCGAGTGAATGAGTGAGTGAATAAACGAATAAATGTGAATGAATGAATGAATTAATTCAGAAGAGCAAAGAAAAAATCAATGCACGAACAATAAACCAGTCAACCATGAACCAATGACAAACTAACCAATCACGAGCCAGCTAATTACAAACCAGCCAATAACAAACCGTTGTTCCACTTTCAGCCCTAGCCCTTCTCTCTTTCAACTTCCTCGACATCTCAGACATCATATTCTCAGCCCCAGGGATCAACGGCTTGCTCCTGCCCATCGTCCCGGCAGAAGAGGAAGAGGACGACGATGTTGATGACGTCACCGATGTTATGGAGTTTCCGGAATTTTCTTGCTCTATATTCCTACTGTCAGACTGAATTATGATATTATGATATATATAACATAAAAATATATATATATATAGAAAGAGAGAAAAGAGAGTGTGAGAAAAAGTGAGAAAAGGCTGAAGCCAGGAAAACAATTCTATCATCCCATATCATCCAAACCACTAACTCTGTTAACTTTTTTCAACTGGGCGTTCTTCAGGGCGGCAGCCAGTCCTCCGCTGTTGACTTCCGGCAAGGGAGGCGCTGGCGGAGGAGGTGCAGGAGGTGGGGGCACTCCAGGGGCTGACCCCGACAGGGGCGGCAGTGGTGGGGGCGGTGGAGGGGGAGGAACTGAAGGAGATGGCTCATGGGCGGCAGCTGTCGACAAGATGGACGACCATTTGTTTTGTATTTCAGTCAGAGAATGAGTGAATGTAAGAAGTGGAGGAGAAATAAAAAGAGAGATGAAGAGAAGAAAAAGAAAGAAAGAGAGGAGGAAGAAAACAATGGAGAAAAAGTAGAGGAAGAGAGAGATTGCAAGAAAAGAAGAAGAGAGAGCAAGAAAGTGAGAAATAAAATTTGAAATGAGGGGAGAATAAAAGAATGAAGCAAGAGAACGAAGATGACACACCTCCCCTCAGTGGCAGTCCCGATATCGGCGGAGGTACGGGAGGAACTCCTGATAATGATGAAGACGACGGTGCAGTTGACGATGCTGACAATGGTTGTTGCAGCTGTGGCTGGGGCCTCATGTCGCCTGAAGCCGGCGCTATCGATTCATACCAATTATTGTTGCTGCTGTTTACTTGCTGCTGTTGCTGCTGTGAAACTGCAATGCTGTTGCCATAGGCTGAAAATAACAAACAAATACTAATTACATCACTACATCAATAAGTAACAACAAATTAATACAAATATAGTTGTCGGTGGCGTTGACTACGTGCGTTGTTGTTGCTATGAAAATAGTTTGGATGTTATTACATGTCGTCGTCGTCATTGCTGTTGATGTCATTACTAAGGATGTCATCTTTAAAGTCATTGTCGTTGTCTATATCACTGCTGTTGTTGTTGTTGACGTCACTGTAGTTGATGTTATTACTGATGACATCACTGTCTGTTGTTGTTTTTGTTGCTGATGTTGATGTCACGAACCTGAAAGAGTGCAGCCCTGTGATGAAGTTCTCTTATGAGTTTTATGGTAGCCAGTGCCATCTTGCTGCTGCTGCTGCTGAGTTCTACTGCTTGCGAGTTTGGTGGTTGAATAACAACATTTACGCCACCATCATCATCATCATCATCATCCTACTCATCCTCATCGTCATCAACACTAACAACATCATCATCATCATCATAACTCACGTAATGTTGAAAACATCCTCAGATGACATGTTGCCATTATAAGTAGCTGAAACCATTGAACACTGCTGCTGCTGCTGTTGCATTGTTGATTTTGCCATTTGTCCTGTATATTATTATTATTATTATTATTATTATTAGTAGTAGTAGTAGTAGTAGTATTTGTTGTTGTAACGTTGAAAACATCAGCTTAAACAACATCAACTTGTTGCAGTTGCGTACCATTCTGTTGGAAGTATTGCTGGGCTGATGGGTAGTTGAGACTAGACTGATGTTGTAGACTGTGCTGATGCGGAAATTGCGGTTGCTGCTGCTGTTGCAGCTGCTGTTGCTGCAACTGTTGCTGCTGCAGCTGTTGTTGATCGGCCTGCTGATCCACATAACATGTTGCTGGACTAGAAAACTGTCTGGAGATGCCTGAATGAGTGAATGAAAGAATGAATGAATGAGTGAACGAATGAATGAACGAGAATGAGAAATAAATTACAAATAAATGAATGAATGTTTGAACGAATAAAAGTAATAAAAAGTTAGAAAAGTAAGAACAAGCCATCCCACATCAGAAGTACATGGCTAATATTATACAATATTATCACATATGAATTAAAGTTTTGACATCGCTGTAGTGAATTATGATAATATGAATTATAATGTTGTTACAATAATATTACCATTATCACTATGTATTATAATTAATTATTATAATTGTAATTATAAAACTATAATTAAATGCATACCTCCGATGCAAGCACCTGATAGAGTGTCAAGAACTACCATCATTGTCTGTGCAAATGAATCTGCCTCTTCTTTGCTACTGAAGTTCAATCCAAACACCTTTCAATCAATCAATCAATCAATCAATCAATCAATCAATCAATCAATCAATCAATCAACCAACCAATCAATTAATCAAAAAAACAATCAACCACCTGTCTATTATCTCTCCACTGATGAAATGTTGGCGTTGCTTGGTTATATTTCAAACCTCTCAATATAGCACAGTTAATAGAGACCTGTGTGTGTGTGTTTGTTTTTGTGTGTGGGTGTGTTTGTGTGTGTGTGACAGATTTTGATAATTGCTAATTTGTGTGTGTGAATTATATGTGAATAAATTAAATAAATAAACCAAAAATATATAAATATAAAAACATAGGATTAAATATTTGTTAAAATTTAGACACTTATCTCCTTACTTAACCCCTTGTTGAGGTTAGCAAGATGGTGAAACATTTTAATATAAAATTAAAAAACCATCCAAGTAGAAGGAGCCAAAAAGCTTCTAGTCCAATAACATCAATAATAAATTCAAAACCCCTAAAAAACATAACTTTACTTTATTAAGCATACAAAAACAGCTAAAAAATAACCTAAAGACTCCAAAAATTGACAACTCCACTTACCTCATGATCTTGCAACTTTCTGCCGACGACCCTGAACGTGTTGTTAATGACGTGCTGATAAATATGAACCTTTGAGATCCCTTGCGACGTGCCACTGGGCAGCCATCTTTTGTGTGAGTCATCGTACACCATCACTGAGGCCCGTGCGCTGACTAGCGACTGTTCACTGGTTATGTTATATATAAAAATTAAAAATATGTTATATAATATAATATGTATTTTGTTATGTTATATATATTATATATATATATAATCTACTTAAAAAGAAGCCTACCATCCTACCGCCTCCTTTTAATTAATTTCCCCATTTAAAATTTGAATCTTGAATGAATTATGTTTGGTTTGATTTCGATTGATTGGACTGGCACTCACATACATCATCATACAGATACAGACACAGTTGAATGTTGAATCATACTTTCTCGTTGCAATTTAAAAACAATAAAATTAACCTCATTCCAAAATTTAAAAAACTGCCAAAATGCCAAAAAATTATTAAACACGAAATAATTAACAAATCATTCTTGCAATATGATTAAAATTAAAAAGTATTAAATTGCATTAAAAGTAAACTTAATTTATAAATGTTTGTAATAGGGATGAGCGTTAAGTTTCACGTGAATATTAAATATGCATCATACAATATCTACAGTACACTTGTGTTAAACATCACGAAATATATAAACTCTATATATTTTATATAACCAAAATTATAAGCGTATAAACGCAATCGTAACAAGAAATGAGCAAATTACATTAAATATTTTACATTTGTTTAATGGAATTTGTTTGTAGAAGATGATAGTTCAATTATCGAAGCAAAATTTAGGATAATACTTCACAAACAATAACCAGACCTTCATTTATATTAAATAAAATTTGAGTAACTAATTAGTAACTTATCAACAAATTTACTAAT